CCCCAAAACCCCAAAACCCCAAAACCCCAAAAGAAAGCAAATTCTAAAAGGAGATGAATAAATATTATTTTAATGTGAAAACTATTTAATTTATAATATGTTTTCATAAGTGAAATCACTTAGCCCTCAGAAGATGCAATTTTAGACAACTTTTACTCCAGCTTTTGTAAGATCATCCATTAATCAGCAAAAATGGATTATTAACCTTTATATGTAGCAATCTGACTTCGGATTCTAAGGCCAGAGTGGAGGATTGAATAATTTTAACAAGCAGAGCAATATGTTTAAGGAGAGCTAGCTTAAAATTATGTAACTAGAGTCTGATATCAAGCTCAAAGAAATGAAGTTAAATCTGCTTCAGCTTCAAAACTAAACGAGAACTGCTGAACACTCTGAGACAATGAGGCAACTTCAAGACTAGATTAACAAAGTAAGCAATCAATTTGGAAATTTTGAAATATTTTAATTTAGATTCAAAAAGAGAAGAAGGAGCTAATTATGTCCAAAGACGAATAAATATAGACTTTAAACCAAGAAATCAACTCTCTGGAACAGTAACTAATTCAGGCTAAATTAGATGCAGCAACTATTAAATCTCAGCTTTAAGAGGAAAGGAATAAAGCACTAATTCTGAAAAGACAAATAAAAGACGTGCATAAAGTTTCGTAGATATAAATGGCATCCAAGGGAAATATGGGGCTGACGAGCTCTGGACACAAACCCAGAGAGTCTAACATGGATTTTCTAAAAAATTTGAAACTTGAAAATAAGTCAAAGGCTTACTCATCTAGCAACAAATCTTCATTTATTGGTGGATCTAGTGAGTATCAAACTAACAATGGAGCTGAGAGAGTGCAGGGCAGCAATTAAGACTATGCAGATCATCTTATAGAACACAATGAATAATGGAGTCAGAAAAAAGCAATTTAAATATCTGATGCATTCAAGGAAGACAATTATTCTCAAAGTTAAAAAGATCAGTATGGCGTTGAAGAAAACAAAAGAAGCGAGAGTAAAGCTGATGATGAAGAGTATCAATCTGTGCAAATGAAGCCATTCGAAGATGAAGACTGGAATGAGGAAATGGATAATCAGTCTAAGTTAAAGGAGGCTTTAAGAGCTGTTTTAAGAGCAAAGTTGTATGAGTAAGTGCAAGATAAAGATACAGTCAAGACTTGGGTCGAACAATTTCTGCCAAAACTTAAATCTTCAAAAGATCACTCAAAGATTTAAACTTAGAAAAAATTCAAAGAAGCACTTAAGAAGGGTATTCCCTCTGAAATTAGAGGGTTGGTGTGGCAGTAGCTTATAGGAAATGAGCTGAGAATAACTGATCAGTTGTTTAAGTTATTACTTGAGAGAGCTGAATTATCAGAGCAAAATGCTGATAAAGATCCCGTATTTAGGAAAAATTTGAAAGTTATAGAAGAAGACCTGCACAGGACATTTGGAGAGTTAGGTCACTTCAGATATGGAAACAAACTTTACTAGCCTCTAAGGAATGTTCTAATTGCATACTCAGTAAGAATTAATAAATTTTAAATACATTAATAGATGCTAAGACCAGATCTTGGTTACGTATAAGGAATGAGTTATGTGGCTGGATCAATACTACTTCATTGTGAAGGTGAGATCGAAGCATTCAAATGCTTCTCAAATTTAATGAACAGAGATTTGCTGTTTAACTTTTACTCCTTTGATATGGAGAAGGTGAACATTATCTTTCATGTATTCATGACATTAATGAGAGAGAAACTGCCTAAAATGTATTAAGTGTTTAAATAAACAAATCTTTCATGCTCTATTTTCCTGTTTGAATGGATAGTAGCATTGTATTCAAATATATTTCCTCTGGAAACAAGTGCCAAGATTTGGGATTAATACTTATTCTATGGAGACTTCTTTCTGATAAAAGTGGCTATAGGCATTTGCTCAAGTTTAGAACAAAATGTGGCTTCTAATAACTTTGAAATGATGGTCTTATTGTTCAAAAATGTTCGCAATTTTGTAACTGAAGATATGCTGCTAGATTCATTAAAGCTAGTAAAGTTTAATAAAAAAGAATATGATAAACTTAAAAGACAAATAGAAAATACACCCAACCTAGAAAGACTCATTTGAAAAATCATGAACAAATAAGTGTTATACCTATCATCATAATCCTTATCCATCTATATTGATACCTTAATTTAATGTTCTTTATCTTTCTTAACTTGCTCTAAAAATTTCAGCTATATGTTCTATGGGGTTTTGGGGTTTTGGGG